CCCCTCCCTGAAATACCAGGATCCTAAACAAAATCTACTGAATCAAAATCCACATTTTTTAAACATGTAAGAAATTTGGAAATCCAGTTCTCTGAGCAGAATGGCAGCTCCAAACCTCAGGTTCATCTACTGACAGAGCGAGAGATGGAACTGCATGAAATCCCAGGAGGTAATGACTAGCATGGCGCTCTAGACAGGGGAGGAGCCCACATACATACAGAATGAGGAAGGAAGGGATGTCAATAATAATGCCTAAAAATAAACAAATAATTTCCTTTGAAAATAGGCACAGTGGAGAACAGGAAATCTGTCCCAAAAGCCCCAATGTGGTTTGATCCAGAGACTCTTCTCTAGAAGATACGATCATTCTACTCTACCTTCCAGTACTTCCTACAGTGTAAAATAGCTCTTTAGGCTTTCTGTACGTGACATGAAATATCTCCCCGAACATCATCAAGAAGTTTTCTGACTGGTGATGTGGTTTCTCGATATATTTCAATTTCCATTTGGTCCCCTACTCCCTTGATCCTGAGTCTGCTTAGAATGAACTCTCTGAGGAAAATGTATGAACCTTGCTAAAAAGAAATCTCATAACTGGCTATTGAGCATGGGATACTTTAAGCAATCACAGTGCAGGTTATGGAACTAATTAATCATTCTGTCAAACTTGAGAATCCTTTAATTGGAGAATTAGCTAAAATGGTAGAGGTATTGGGAAGTAAAAAAAAGATTAAAAGGGAACTTCTGGAGCTGGTCTTGTTAACATGATTTCTACAAGACATCCTTCAGGAACGAAGATGAAATTTCTTTTTAACAGTTCACTTTTTCTTTTGGAGATAACTATAGACTTATAGAAGAGTTTCAAAGATACTGCAGAGAGATCCCATATACCCTCTACTTAGCTTCCCTTATCCTTAACATCTTATGTAACCATAGACATTTTTATAAAAACTAAGAAATTAACTTTAGCATAATACTATTAGCAAAAGTACAGAACTTACTCAGATTTCACCAGTTTTCCCACTAATGACCTTTTTCTTCCCCCAGGGTTCTACCAGGATCCCATATTGCATTAAATTGTCGTGTCTCCTTAGTCTCTTCTGATCTGTGAGAGTTCTTTCTTTCCAGACCTTGATACTTTTGAAGAGTACTGATTGCTTGTTTTGTAGAATGCGCCTCAACTCGGGTTTCTTTGCTGTTTTCTCATGATTAGACTGAGGTTATGTATTTGGAGCAAGAATACTGCAGAAGTGATGAGCCCTTCTCAGTGTATCATATCTAGGGGTACATGGTGTCCATAGGTATTATTGGCGATGTGCAATTTGATCACCTGGCTAAGGTGGTATCTGCCAGAATTGTCCACTATAAACTTACGATTTTTCCCTTTGTAATGACTAAGTATCTTGGGATAGATACTATTTAAGCAAATATCCTATTCCTTCTTAGACTATTACCTGCTCTTTTTAACAACCATTGGTGGATTTTGTCCGAGATAATTATCACTGTGGGTTTCTAATTCTATTTTATTTTATTTAAAAATTCTATTTTCTATTTCCATCATTCTTGTTACTTTTAATTGTAATTCTTCTACAAGAAAGACTTGTTCCTTCTTCTCCATTTAAGACAAGAGAGTCAAAGGACAGAAACGGGCTCCGTACTTTCAGGTAGACCAGTAGGACAGCATGCATAGTTGATTGCGTCTTCAGAACATGACGCTATTCCACCTCCCCAACCCCATGGGTTCCTACCCAAAAGACAAGCAAAACATGTACTAGATGAAAAATCCTAGAGTTTAAACCTAAATGTAGAGCTAGGGCAGGGATGACAAGGTGAAGATGATGTGAGGAGGAGTTATTCCTGGCGGTGTCTACCTGAAGAAGATGGAAATGCTAGCTAGGAACATAGGAATTTCTGGGGTTCAGAGACTATTGGCAGAAAAGGTTAAACAAGGTGATGGCAGTTGGACGCTTGGGCAAAAAACAAGTCACTACAAATAGAGTTCAGATAAAAGGTGGCAGGGCCGGTGAACAGTCTAGAAAAAAACATAGGCCAAGATGTCGTGGGGATTAGGACTGGGGGCTGAGGAGTCTGGGTGAAAGCAAGGACACCTGGCAAATGTGATAGAGCCAGAAAATATTAGCAGGTATAGTCAGAATTGCTCTTTGTGAAAGGCCAGAGAATAAATATTTTGGGCTTGTGGGCTGTATTGTCTCTGTCCAACAACTCAGTTCTGCAGCTATGGTACAAATGCAGCCACAGACAGTACGTAAAGGAATGGGCATGGCGGGATTTGGTTCACAATGAGTCAAACTTGGCTTGTGCATAGTAGTTCACCAATTCTGAAGTCAATAATCCACACAGGGACAGAATGTCCTTTGGGCTCTCTATCCAGTACCTCTTGGTTGGTTCTGTTTTGACTTAAAAACCTCACAAAGGGACAGAGAACTAAAAAATAACCACAGTCACTTCAAATAGGGCCTAACAATTTGAGGGTTCTTGATAATGGGGGGGGGGTGCTTACAATTACCCTAGTTATTGCCCTATGTCTAGATAGAGGAGTAAGCATTACTTTTGAATTTAACCAAATTACTTATATTTATAATACATTCTACCAAATTTGATACAGTATATACTGTTATTTGGAATTCAAATTTTAGAAATACTTTATGTCGCATTTTCTTGAGATATTTTGAAACAAAATCGAATATAAGCCACTATTATTATTAAATGGCCTCTCGGAATTTTGTGATATGAGTAATCTGAACCAAATTCTTGCCTTAAATTATTTCAGTAAGTTGAAATAAAGGAAACACTAACATTCTCTCCATTCTCGGATTCATCTTTGGCCTGGTGTTTTGTTTAATGTTCTCCTTAAACATTATAATATAAGCTTTGAAATATAAGCTTTTAAAACATAATGGTGGTTAAAGAGAGGAGGATGAACCAGAGGAGAACTTCAAACTACTTCACTCTAGGAGAGGTAGAATATATAGAAAACGTTAAACTAACTCTTTTCGGAATGAGATATCAATTCTATTTTCCTTGTACCCTCTGGGCATTTCTTTAATCTTTGAAATCCCTTCTCTATGACTGGAATCCCTGTGAAGATATTTCTGTATATTTATTCTCAAGTAGCGTAAAAACGTTTTGGAATTCTTTGCTAACTGTATGATATTTTATAATTTTAACAGTTTTGGATGTTACGTAGATGCAAGCATAATGCAGGATAGTGAAAATGCATGGCCATTCATCTGGGAGATGAATAAAAAGAGAAAAATACCTTTCAATATTTTCAGTTTCCATAATGTCTTATTAGTTCCCCGGAAATCTAATTTCAAACCCAAGACATACTTTGCAGATTTGATTTGAAGTAAAAGAGTCAATTTCAGTAAAATATCAAAAAAGATGTTTTCACGTTTTAAAATTCATTAGATTGAATATTGATGTAAGATCCACGTCTCAATCTACTATTTTATAATACTGGAGTTGAACTATTAAAAAAATTGTGTTTTGTGTAAGAAACTTGTCAGCAATTTGCTTTTACCTTGTGAAAAAAATAAAAGTTTTACAGACCCAAACCAGTAAACACAGTGTAGAATCATTTGGGTCTTAGGGCTACGAATTTTGTGATTATTATATTCATGCATTCTTTTGGGCATAAATTAAGTAGGCCATGGGGCAGTTGGAGGGC